AGGAAACATGTGGACTTGGGGGAAGGGGGTGAGAAGAGTACCATAAAAAAATATTTTCTTAAAAATATATTTTCTACTCTCTAATCAAACACTAGAAAATATTTTCCTAAAAAAGTTTTCCATTCACCAACCAAACAAGGGAAAATAAATGATAAAATCACTCATCTTCCATGAAAATATTTTCCATGGAAAACATTTCCCGTCGTACCAAACACATCCTTAGTTGTGATATGGTTTCTGTTACTGAAATTTTATTGAATATAATAGATTTGTGGAAAATGAAATTGACTTTTAAAATAATTTTTCCATGGTTAATAAATTTGCCAGTGTTTCCAAAATTAGATCATCTTCTAAAAGTTCATCATGAAGTCGTAGACTCTGTATACTACAAAGAGACAAAAAGGAAAAGAAGCACAAAATTGAGAACCTAATTATTTCTGACATGTGAAAAAGGAGATGCCTCAAATTAAATGCGCGATAAAGCAAAGCTATTTAAGGAGTGGATTGCTATTTCAAGCCACAACTTCAACTTGGACATGTAATGGAATACTTCGTTTGATCCATAATAAATGATTAATTTATTTTTTTTATTTTGGTTTAAAATAAATGTCCATTTATATAATCAAAAAAAAATTCAATTTGTTTTATAAAAATTATCCTCATGTGTGTATTCCTAAAAAGTCTTTTACTCCTCACATTAACTATGCTGTAATATTTAATTAAGGGCAGTTTAATCATACTAACTATTTTTATCTAAAATTTAATATTTCCTTAATGGTTGTGCCCAAAATAAATTAGTCACTTATTATGGATCGGAGGGAGTATGGAACGGTTGGAAGCAGAAGTGATCTGACACGCATGTTCCTACTTGCTTAGGTGTTACACAAAATCCAATTGTCTCTGCTTTAGTCTATGTTTTTTTTACTTTTTGGTTATAGTCTATGACTTTATTATAGCCACTTTCTCATGTATAGAATAACAGTGTCAAATGGACTAGTTGGCCTGCATCTAAAAGAGTTACTTTCTCCGTTTCAATTTAACTGTGGTAATTGGACTCGGCATTGAGTTTAAGAATTTTTTTTTTAAATTTGGGTAATAAAAGCTTGAGGGGTAAAAGTTTTATGGGACCATGATATTTGTATTGTTATAAATGCTTCTCATTAAAGGTAAAATGGTTAAAATAAAGAATTTAATGTTGAATTATTCTGTAGAAATGTGTCATTCTTTTTGGAACAAACAAATAAAAAAGTATGTCATCTAAATTGAAAGGGACTATATGATCCGGTCAATAAACGGATTGAATTATAGACCGCTCAATGTTAGGCTGGTCAATTTAAGCTAAATAATGTGTATAGCCCAATTCGTCCAATTAAAGGCTGCTTGGTGCATGAAGTATCATGCGTTCATGCAGGGTCCGGATAAGGGTCGTACTCCAAGGGGGTGTGACATAGACAGCATACCTTAATAAAATATCGATGGCTGATTTCACTGCTCGAACCCATGACCTACCGATTCGTTCAAATCAAAATCATATTTTGTTCTAATTTGTTTGTTTGTTCTTGTTTACTTAGTTAAAATATCGAATCAAGATAATACAAAGCTTTATCTGAGAAGTTTTATTTTGTGTCTCATACAACTGACACTAGTTGTATGAGGCTCCTTTTTGTCTCACAAATTTGTGGACCCCAATCTTACACTTCTGGGTCCACAGAAATATGGGTCCACAAAACTGTGAGACAAAAAGGTTACCTCATACAACTAGTGTCAGTTGTATGAGACACAAAATAAAATTTTCCCAGCTATTGGTACATAACAGTTCAATACATTAATCAATCAGAGTAGAAACTCCACAACAGTTCCTAGGACGTACAGTTTCTTTCAAATATTCTATTGCGGAAGTACACTACTTCCAGAGCAATGAAAGCTCTTTTAGAAATTAAAATAACTGTCAATATGAATTATTGATGTTTTTTCAGATGAAGGACATGGGGTTTTCTAGGTTACCATTGTCGAGGAAAGGCACATGCAATTCCTAGCTCGACACTGCAGTTTTGAAGGGACAGTAAATGCCACTATTTATTCCAACTATCACCTCCCTGTCTTTGCAATAATTCCCAAAAATACCCATAACACCATACTTTAGTATTCGCAATTTACTCGTCTGATTTATTCAGATTTGCATCGTGTAGGACCTATTTAAAAGAAGCTCCATATTTTGACCTATTTAAAAGAAGAAGTGGTTCATATCGTGAATTTCTTAATTTTCAGGACTCGAACCTAACACATCTCTAATTAATGAGGGAGAGATTCTACTTATTCCATCACATTCCGTAGTGTTAGTGAAACTTATGAATAGGCCGGAAGATGTAGAAATATCTAGATGAATTATATTCAAAGTTGAAATGTTTGACCAAGCTTTTAAAAGAAAAAAAATGTTTTGCGTATTAGCAGAAGCAGTTTATTAAAGCAAAATAAGTAATTTCTCAAACACAAGAGGGGAGCGGTGAATTGTGTCTAATTAAAAATAAGTTGACTAATGTGAGTGATAGTCGACTTCTTTGCTTCTAAAGCTTAGAGATTTGCAGAAACTGGGAAACAGTAAAGACTCAGAGTTTTCATACTGGTTCAGTATCATTGTGGTACTTACATCCAGTTCCCTTGGGTCACAAGGGTTCTCTTAGATCTTCAATATGTGAATCGTAACAACAGTTGTGGTTTTTGTTCTTTCACTACTAACGACATTCAGTTACAATAGTTCTCAATGCTTGACACAACTTCCTGTCTGTCTTCTAACTTTTCTATCTTTTGTGATACTAGTAAACTCAATAATACAGTGTTTGTACTAAGAACTAGAAAGATATAGAAACTTATATATAGAGTTGCGTGAGACTTCCTTCTGTCCTTCAGTTCTTCATATAGGTAGGTCTTGAGGTTTTGTTGTTAGAGCCGTTGCAGATGGACTATTGATTGAGGCAAGAGATATTCTAAGAGATTTAGCCCAAGGGTTGCCCCTAAATGCAGTTCACAAAGAAGGCTGGATTCAATTCTTGAGTATGCTCTTCTTCCTTTGTGTGTTCCTGATTTCGAGGAGCAATTAACGCATGTAGTTGATTGGCCGATGATCACTCTAACTTCCATTTGAATTATGTCAATCATGATCTTCTTGATTTATTTCACTACAAATTTTCCTTTATTTTCGAACTTGATTGCTCATCCTTATTTTGATTGATTTGCTCCGGGCTTTGCTTAATTTAAAATTAGCTTGATTCCTTTCCTTTTGTCATCTTCAGCAGTTGCATATCTTTCCTTCCAGGTTCCTGAATTCCTGCAAACATTAAGGATTGGTTAGATTTGTGCTATTGTCATCATTAAAATATAGGTATAACAATTTCTCCCTATAAATATTTTTTTGATACACTTTTGAGAAAAATACATGTAAAAATACTTTTTAAAAGCTTAGCCGAACATTAATTGCTGCTAAAAATATTTTTTAAATTTATTAGTCAAATACAAACTGCTTCTCACCAAAAGTATTTTTATGAAAAATGACTTTTTTCAAAAGTACTTTTCAAAATAAATTTTAGAAGCTTGGCCAAATATGCAATGGAACTAGTAGTGGCAAATGGATAAAAGAAAACAGTTATCGATCCATACTATCTCAAATATGGAAGAACCATATTATCCACTTAGAAAATGGATAACCAATAGATAACCGATGGATAACTAATAGATTTAACTTTTACATTTGTAGAGACTCAAATTGAGGGTTCCTCATGTTTGGAAGACTAAGAATTCTCCAAAAAGTGATTATATCCAAGAAGTTATGGATAATACAGATATCCATATTATTCACCGGTTAACCCATTTTCTATCCGTATAAAATATGGTCGGACCGGATAATTTATCCGCTTTACATTACCCGTTTCGACTCGTCAATATCCGACCCGACCCGCCCGTTTGTCACCCGTAGATGAAACTAACAAACATAGCCACAATATTCCTCATCAACTTGTGCACTTCGCTAGCTTTTCTTTCTCTTCTCTGTTTTGTTTTCTTATTATTTCGCTTGATGGGCTTTGTTTTATTTTATTACTTGTCATCATTCTGCAATAGAATATCTACTTAATCAGGTCAGTGATAGTTTGATTTCTCTTTTGTCATATACTTGATCTCAATCTAACACTGATTTAACCATTTTATTATCTTTATCCAGTATTGTCCTGTTCCTCGGAGATGCTGAGTACTTTGATATATCAAAGCTGGGTCTATAACATGTCGCTTCTCTTGTCCTCTAACAAAATTTTCCAAAATATATTATCTTCCTCTCACTCCCTGCGCAATGCGACAAACAAGGCCAGTACATCAAGATTGTTTCTTTGTTTGGTTCATTATTTTAAGATAATGAATACAAATTTAATGTGTCTATATATGTTTATATGTCTGTATATATACATATATGCATGATACATCGTGGAGGAATTCACTTAAATCTCCTTTGAAAATTATACTGTATAGAGGTGAGAACACTAAAGTTTTTAAATTTTTTTAATTTTTTATTTTTGTGTAAATCGATTCTCCTTAACATTAGGGAAGCTTCTAATGTAATAACAAATATGACTCAAAAATTATTTTAGATGCACTTATTCGAATACCAAGAAAGACATTTTCGTGTTTATTTTGTTAAATAGGTAACTACGGCCACATCACTATCCTGTTCGATATTTTAAAGTGACATATTGGTACACAATCAAAACTCGCTATAACAATCTCGTTTGTTCCGATATTTTTTGGCTGTTATAGTAAAGTGTTGTTATAAAAAACATATATTATAACATAATATAAAAATTGGTTCCGAAAAAAATTAACTTTTACAGTGAATTGTTGTTATATAGAGATGTTATTATAGAGAGGTCTGACCGTATTTTGCTAAATAAGGCCACATCTCCATCTTGTCCTATGTGTTCTACTACTACTTTTTGAAGTATTATATAGAGATTGGTAAAAATAGAATTTATGTTCTCTTCTCTCTAAAAATTAAGTACTAGTTACAATATTTCGCCGAAGGAGTAAAAAGAACAACAGAGAGAGAAAGCCATATTTTCAAGAAAATAATTAAATTAATTTGTCTTTATTCAGTTTAGCCAACTTGCACGCCATTATGATCTTTGGCATCGGCAAATCCACTTAGAGAGGCACAAAGCCGTACAGATGAAAGTGCCTTGTCAAAATGCTTGGCTTTAGTGCCTAAGTACTCACTCCATGTTATTGCCCTATACAATGGAGGGTGCCTTTGGTCCACCAATTTTGCGAGGGGTGAAATTTTCACCCCTGACGGTGGACCATATAAATACGCAACAGAAAGGCGATGTCGCGTCCGGTTCACAACGGCCCGATGTAGTACACTCGGGTACGACCCGTTTGATAGTATGTGTAAAAGGTCACCTACGTTAACTACTAATGCACCAGGGAATGGAGGGACAGTGACCCAATCACTCCCTTCTTTGAAAACTTGTAAACCACTTGTGTTGTTTTGGTGAAGGATTGTTAATATGGTAGAATCCGTATGTGCAGCAAGACCCATGGCCCGATCCGGATCCGGACATGCCGGGTAAGAATTCAGTTGTAGGGCCGCACTTCCTCCTTTGGATTCTCCTTTTGGGCCTACGGCCCAATTCACGTCTTCCTTAGTTATCCCCAATGACCCAAGCATAAGCCACATCAGTCTTCCAGCTAGCTTTTCCATTTCCCTTTCGTATTCTTCTATTACGTCACTAAAAAAACAAAAAACGCAAAAATACAAAAAAATTAGAAAAAAAATAAAAATACAGAAAAATAGAAGAAATACTATAAAAGGATTGAAAGAGTTGTTTAAGTGAAAGAAAAGTACAACAAAAGGCAATAATTAGATTTGATTTTCAGATTGATATCTATGAAGTCTTCCCTTATCTTATCTAGGGGGACCTTATCATTTTTATCGTTAAACTTTTCTTCTTCCATTAATAATTTAATAACAGTATAAAGTAATAACAGTAGGTTTTATCTTACCTATCGTTTCCCCACTGTACGTACAAAAACAGGAAACGAAAAAATGGTTTTTTGTACTTGTGTAAATGAAAGATTCGTTCATTTTTATTTTTGATATACGTGCATGAAAAATGTGAGCGGGACGATAAAAATAATGGCGGATTCAATCACAGGGTCATAGGTCCGATCTGACAGACAAAAAGAATAAATTTATATAAAATTATATATACATTTCAGAACTCATTCTCTCAGGTCAAAATTTAAAGTGCGTCTAAATTCTGAATCTGCCACTAATGATAACTAAATATGTACTCACCAGAAATTCTGGTAATCGTGAGGCCAAATTTGACGAGCGTGTTCAAGTGGGGAGCCAACAATGGTGAATCCTTCAGACCACATAAGCTTTGAAAAGAAAGAAGAAATGCGAGCCACGCCATAGCCAGTTACACCATCAGGAGAACGAGCAGCCTTAAGCTTTTGCTGCATTGGGAGCGAAAAGAGATTTTTTCCTGCCAATTCAATATCTTGAAGTAGCCTCTCTGATATATTATGGTTTATGATTTGGAATGCACCCCATTTTTTGCATGCTTGACCTATATGTTCAAGAATATTAATATTATTGTTGTTGTTGTTGTTGAGGTCGATAACTGGAATAGACTCGAAGTTACATGAATTTTCTGAAGGATAATCATTTGATGATGTCCATGCATGGGATTCTGGCAATTCTTTTATTGAGTTCAAATCCAAGTGTTTTTGAGAGTGAGCTCTAAAAGAATCTGCGATCCGAGAAGGCATAGTCTATAGCCCACGAGTTAATGAAAAAAATGTATTACTAGTTGAAAGAAATAGGAAATACTATTTAGATAACTTTATGAGTTGCTAGAGAGAAGAACAAAGGGGGAAAAATGGAATGTTTTGAAAGAGATGATGTAAAGGAAAGGTATTTATAGAGGTGATTGATTAGAATGAAAAGAAATATTAATACTTTAATTATGAGTGGTTTTGCACAAGTCTTGGGGTTGATATATGGAAGGGGACAAGAAATGAAAGGGTAAATGGCATTGGACAACAGAAACAACAAAAAAGTTGAATGGACAACTTGTCCTCTACGAAAACAATTGTATGAGATCTTAGATCAAGTTAATGAAAGATTATATACAGTTCAGAAATTTAAGTTTATGGAGATCCATTGAATTTTAGAACAAGATAACTTATAAAGTTTGGAATACATTATTTATATATATTTAATAAATTTTTTAATACAAATACAAAATATGTTTATTAAGTTTGCTAAACCAATAAATTATATTGTAGCTCCACTCCTAATTCCTCATATTTCTATATATTATTATATTCACATAATATGGGAGGTTTCCATATAGGTGAGGGTCTATCTCTCTCTCCAATTCATGTGCATTGTCTTGTCCTTAAGTAGAAAAACATCTACATCATGATCACGTCTTTACTTGGTTCTAATCTCTATTTGCTACCAGACAGTATTTCTCTCCCCACCACCTTTAATTTACTCTATATATAGATCTGAAAATCCCAAACACAAATCCTATTTGCCTGCTGAAATGGCTACAATACCCTCTGGAGTTTGCCCTTTTGTTATCCGCGAAAATATTTCTCTAGAATCTCGGATGCCCTATAAGTAGGCTATGCATAATTTTGATAAATACCGAATTATTGTATCGAATATCGACACTGATAATTTTAGTATTTGGTGTTTGGTATAGTATTTGAAGTTCTTTTAAAAAGTTAGTATCTGGTATTTAAAAATAATCTATCAAAATACTGAAACCATATCGAAATAAAGTATATATTATATTACACAATACACATATTATTAATAATAATATATATATTAGAGTTTTAAATTTTACTTTTTGTTATTTTTATAGTTTTCTTTAACTTTTACCATCATTTTTCCCCACTATACTTTTTGTTATTAATAATAAAGTATATATTTACCATCATTTGAAATGAAAAGATGACACCAGAAGAACATGAAGTAAAATTATATCATGCCTAAGGTACAGAGATCCAGTTGATACAACTTTAGCTTTATATCCATTAGGTAGAGTGACAAGGAAAGGTTTAATTAATGGTTGGACATTAAAAAGAAGGTGTTTATGTGGAGTCATGTGATTTGTAGCCCCTGTATCTAAGATCCAAGGGTTGACACCTAAATGAGAAGATGCACACACATGGGAAGCCTCAGAATCTACAGCATACTTGCTAAACAAACCTGCAAAGTGTGCAAAAGCAGGTTGATCCACATTGGATGCATCAGGTATGGAAGTGTTTGACATCTGAACTTGTTGAAACAAGGTTAGCAGGTGTTGATACTGCTCCTTGGTAAATCCATGGGCTGAAGGATCAGCTTGCTGAGAAGTAGTAGTAACAGCAGTGGTCGATGGATTTTCAGTCTGAACACAAGAGGCATATTTCTTACTCTTGGTGAACTTGAAATCAGTAGGGAATCCATGAAGTCTGTAGCACTTGTCTACAGTGTGGCTAGGCTTCTTGCAGTACTTGCAAGAAACAATTGAAGCAGCTTTCCTGGCCTCAAAGTTCACTTTTTGACTGAAAGTCCTGTTTGTATTAGAAGCACTAGGAGACACCAAAAAAGAAGTGGCATCACCAGATAGGTTAGGAGCGCCATAGTGAGCTTCCCTTTGACTCTCATCTTGTTGTAAAAGACTATAGGCTTTGCTGATTGGTGGGAGAGGATTCATTAACATAATAGCACTTTTAACAGTCGTGTATGAATCATTTAGACCATTAAGAAACTGAAACAATTGTTGGTCCTCTATGAATTTAGGCAAAGCACCACAATGAACAAGTAGGACCTACATATGAAGAATTCAGCTCATCCCACAAACTCCTCATCTTTGTGAAGTACGAGGCTATATCAGAGGAGCCTCGAGTAGTAGAGCTGATTTCCCTTTGTATTTGAATGTATTTAGACCCATTTGATTGACCAAATCTTTCATTTATATCCTTCCAGACTTCCTTAGCAGTTTTAAAACACATTACACTAACAGCTATTTCTCTAGATACTGAGTTGGTTATCCAGGCTTTGACTATATTATTGCACCTTTCCCAATATGGATAATACGGAGATTCAGGAGTGGGTTGATTGACTCTGCCATCTAATAGGCTGAGTTTGTTCTTTGCAGAAAGGGAAGTAAGCATACTGTTGCGCCATAACACAAACCCACAACCACTGAATGGAACGGATACCAATTGGCTTCCAGGATTATCCGAGGGATGAATATAGAACGGATGTGAAGGATCCAAGGAAAATGGAACAAAACCGTTGGAAGTTGAAGAAGAATTAATGTCATCTACTACAGTACCCATTTTCAGCAGAGACTAAGTCTAATATTAAGAAATTACAGTAGCACGTTGAAGTTATAAGAAACAAACTCAAATCAGGTACATGCAAGGAGCATTAACATCAAAATTAACAGAATTTGTGATTAGGAGTGACAGTGATACCGTCCTTCTTCTGAAAACCTGAAGAAGTGAGGTCTTGTTTAGCCATGAACCCTAGGTAGAGCAAATCCAGCAGAAAATACCGTGTAGCTTGAAGATTATCGACGATTCTCTCAATAGGAGTCGAGAATACGCGAAGATTGAATGAAACCCCAAAATTTCACGAACATATTCTGAAAACCGATGATCTAGTACAATCCTTGACAATCTCAAACGAGGCTACCATCGGAAGAGAGGTTGTGACGAGAGGATTCCATATTCCCGCTCTGATACCATGTTGAGCTCGAAGCTCGATAGCTATGGCGAAAATAGTAGAAGAAAAAGAGAAGAAGAAGACTGAAAAATGAGTCGGTTAAATCTTAATTGACCAAAACTAGCTTTATTATTGAGTAGTCCCTATTTATATTTACAAGTGTAATAGACAAAATATAAAATATAATGTAAATTCTGAAAAAATGAAAATACATGTAATGTAAAAACTCTATAAAAGGGCCTTCTGCTTTCCCTTAGCTGATTGGGCCTGATCTTGGGCCTGAGCTGTATCTGGGCTAACAATACTTGCCTTCCCTCTTTTCTTTGGTTGCCTATATACGTTTCAATCTTTCTCCCGTCTAGGTTTAGTATTTTTGGTTTTTATCTTCTTCTTCTTCTTCTTTTTTTTTTTTTTTTTGCAATATTGAGGACCTTAGTTAAGAATATTATAGTTTATGACTCTATGCACTAGTTAATATTCGAGCCGAACAAGCCGAAGTTATCAGACAATAAATCGAAATTGAAAGGAGAAAAGGCGAACCATACCGAATTTAATTAAGTATGGTATCAATATAACATTTTAAGAAATTAAATATTAAAAATACCGAACCAAAATATTTAAATACTATATCGGAAACCGACCGACGAATACCCCTGCCTATAAGCTATGACCGAGCTACATGCAACAACGGAACTCCGATTAAATTAAATCACTTTCGTCTAAAACTTATATAGGATAAATAAGATGAAAATAATAATTTTTTATTATATAGGAGTATATAATATTTGAACTTTCTTTATATAAGAAAAGTTTTAACCTGCTCATAATGAGGCGATTGAATTTAAAAATTACTTTAGATGGTAAGTAAGATTTTATTAATAAATTTCTTCCTTTTTAAAATTATTTTATTAGAATTTCTAACTTCATCACTTTCTATGAGCTCGAGAACTTGTTAGAACCTGTGCGAATGTGCCATCATTGAAGCAAAAGCAGCAGAAAATGACAAATCTAATTTTGAGAGCATTAGGAAGGGTATTTTTGTCCTCAAGAAAATGAATATTGGTTTTAAAATTTTAAGCTTTCCTTTCTGCCCTTGCAAATTTGGTCCTTTCTGAGTTATGCAGTAAAGTCACTCTTGGTATTTTGCGATTAGATTTTGTGTGTTTTGTCCCGTATATATAACCAAGTGGAGTTATTCTCCATTATCTACACATCATTTTTTATCACATATTGATTGTCTTTAAGCAATCAGCTCAATTGTGTTTTTTTAATTTTCTGGTGTGACTAATGACTTTGTCGCATTTTTACGTGTACAACTTTGTCCTAAGTGTCCTTTTCAGGGCCGGTTTTTGGGTAAAGTCACTAAAGCCCAAGCTTTAGGCCTCAACTTTAGGGGGTCCCACTTTTTATCCTATAATTCTTTTTTAAAATTAAGTATTTTTACTCTTATTACATATCTTCGTAAAAACGGAAAATGAAAAATATCTATGTTCCTTAAAATTGGGCTCCTAACATGTAAATGCAAATTTTATGAAAGGAATCAAGTGATTATGTCTTTTCCTCATTAAATATTATGCAAATCTTTTCGCTTTTCTTCTTGGTTTTCACAATATTCAATTCTTTTTTTTTTATTTTATGTTTCTCCGTTCTCACCAAACGTTACTACTATTATTATTTTTCCTTTGTGTCTTCAGGAGATCCTATTGTTCTGAATTTTTCGTCTATCAAGTTAAAACCTACGAGAAGTATATTGTGAAAGCAACAAATATTTATTTTCACATCAAATTAATGAATCAGGTTCTTCTATTCCAACTTTTTAGTATTAATTTTCATCTAACATTTGTTTTTCTTGATATTTCAGTACGTATGCATATATTATCCTTTTAGTATTTATCAAAATTTAAATATGTCAAAAGAAAGTATGAATTCGGTTATTCAAAACTTAAGGAAAAAAAAGAGTTGAATCATTGATACAATCACAAAAAAGAAGAGATGATAGTAATTTAGTCGATACTCAATCAGATAAAAAGACTTGATTCTTTTTTAAATGCTTATATTACTTATAGAATAATAATACCAGTTCCTGTAACAATTGCCTCCGGTCACCCTCGACCACAAACTAGAAACTTGAAAGAAGTTTTTTTAAACTAAAATTGATAAAATCTTACATAAAATCAACTATGGCGCAAGAAAGATTGAAATTACCTATATTACGGATTAAAAAAAATATTAGAAGAAATTTATAATACAATAATTATTCATAATTTTGTATCTCAAAAAGTTAGAAAATTAGATTTTAAATAAATTATAGTATATAAGAAAGTTTTTTTTTTTTTTTTTTTTTTTTTGGAAAAAAGGTTAAAGGCTTCTTCTGCTAGTTTGGCTTTAGGCCTCCAATAGTGTTGAGCCGCCCCTGGTCCTATTAGAATGAATAAATATTTAATCAGTGTAAGGATACACGTATGATTTAAAGAACTAGTTGGATCTCACAATTGTTTGAAATTAGAGGAATTTTCAGAAATCACTATGGCTACTAATTTTCTATAGTTATTATATATATATATATATATATATATATAAAATTACTTTCTGTAGATATTATTTAGTTGTTATGTGACTGTATTCGCACTACTATATTTATGAATACAATAGCGAAATTCTCCTAAAAAAAAGGGAGTCCAGCTGTGCCACTGTATTCGTACTACTATATTGATGAATATAGTAGCGGAATTCGCCTAAAAAAATAGGAGAGATCCAACTATTTAATAGCGGAAAGAGGATCAATTAGTGTGTATCACTCCTAATTTAACTCAACAAAATTAATTTTACATAAGTTTCGCTGCTACGCAATTGTATTTCCACTACTGTATTCATGAATATAGTAGCAGAATTTGCCTAAAAAGGGGAGTCCAGTTGTGTGACTGTATTCGCTGTATTCGCGCTACTGGATTCATGAATACGGTAGCGGAATTCGCCTAAAATAATAGGGGATTCCAGTTGTTTAATAATGGAAAGAGGATCAATTAGCGTGTATCACTCCTAATTCAACTCAACAAAATCAATTCTACATAAATTTCGCTGCTACTGTGTTGTATTCCATGTATTCGCGTGATTGTATTTATAAACAAAGTGAGGTAATCTATAAATAAGGGTGTATGCTCTATTCAATTCGACTATATACATTGTATTCAATTCACATATATTCATTATTTACTATTATACATTGTATTTAATTCGCATGTATTCAAACAACAAAAAATTACAAAACACAATAATATTCGGCTGTATTAAAAAAACACCGACCTTCGAAATACATAAATACATGCGAAAAATTAATGTATTTATACAAAAATATAATATATTTGAGTGTATTTTTATAGAATACAATGTATTCGTATCATTATATGTGACTAAAATATTAAAGAAGAGAAGAAAATAGCCAGAGATGGTATTTTTCGGCCAAGCAAAATACTGTAAACATTGTATTAAAATAAAAAATAGAGACGAACAAAAGCCCGACCCTCAAATCTTCTTCGGCATAGCCATGGCCAGATCTGTTCGCCTAAGAGGATGATCCCAATAGTGGATGATGACGCTGACAATTCTGATGACGATCACAATAACAACGATGATTCTAACGCCTACTGTTCGCTTGCTCCTTTTTTCGCTTCAGAAAGTCCATCATAGCCACCAAAGATGGCTGCTACGATGGTTGTCTTGATAGAAAAGGGAGAGAGATTTGAGGTAGAAGAGAGAGGATTAAGAATTTTGCTGATAGATAGATAGAGAGAGAGAGAGAGAGAGAGAGAGAGAGATTATAATTGGCGAAACTCACTCCTCTATGGTAGGGTATAAATAATGTCACGCCTCGGTCTCGGGGAGCGCGACCGCGCTCAACCGAGATACCCCGGTCAAGCAAGCCTACTTAATGCTTTCTACACGACCTTACCCATGAATGAAGTGAAGATGTATTCTATTAATTAGACAATGAGAAGATTACATGTGCAATACCAATTTCATTACCACTAGAAACATCATTATAATTCCCAAAAATACATTCCATATTCATAGTTTAGCAGTGAAAACATGTGGTACAAATACGACATATTTAGTGACTTACCTAGTTCAAAATACAACCCACACTATGTCTACGGAGCCACTAATGGATACAACAGAGTAATGTGATGGTGCCGGCAACAAGGCCCCGGCTACACCTCAAAACACTATATATATGGTACAAAAGACACAAGACCCCGATGTGAAATGGGGCTCACCAAGTCAGCTGAGAAGAGGGTGCAACGCTATCACTGATCGATGCCGCCTGCTGTGGAACTACCTGCATCCATTAAAGATGCAGCGCCCTCCTCCTCCCTCCCCCCTCCCCCCGACAAAAGGGACGTTAGTACATATGGAATAGTACTAATATGTACGACTAATCACTCTCTCATGGAAACGAGTAACGGTACAATGAGAAACAACATAGGATCAATGAGAGTCTTATATTATATTAAAATGACAAGTTAAGAGCAAAATAAGTTTCCAATTAAATATCACTATTTTTAGGTTGGAAGATTTTTAGTACCGATAAAACACTGTATTTTTAGCGCAGAGT